CCCCGCCGGTAGCGTGTCTGGCTGGACTGACGGGAAAAAGCACGGCTGTTACGTCAAACACGCACGATAGTGCGGCAACGTCGATTATCTGGTATATCAGTCTCGCAATCGATCCCGAGATAGATTGCCGATCCCAGGACTTCGATTCCTTCGCGTGATTAATGACATTTTAATAGATCGAGTCACGCTCTCCTCGTCCCTTCGACGAGCGATTGCACCTCGCTTATCTCGTCGGATGTCGCTTTTATTAATCTCGCTTTAACTCTTATCCGAGCCACACATGAACCGAGAGGAAGATCGGTGCGCGTCTTTATGGAAAATCTCGCGATCATTTACTCATTAATTCGCGATGAATATCGACATGTCGTGACTTCGGAAAATTTTGCTCTCAATTGCCTCCGGTACTTCAAACTTCTACCTGTGTTATTATTCGATCGGCGATTCTTTTTTCTTTCGATTTTATCGCTCACGACGATGTTGTAAGAAAGAGAGAAAAAGAGAGAGAGAGAGAGAGGGGGGAGATCCGAACGATCTTTTACGGCCAGCTCTGTTGATAATCCGCGCCATGAGCCGTCTCAAAGGGCCGCGTCGGACCTTCGTCGGCCGGGAAAAGTCCGGCCGCTTTACTGGAAACCGGAGCTCGGCCTTTTTGGCCTTTTCTCGGCGCTCCGCGCTCGGCGCTGTCCAACGCGTCCGTGCAGATTGGCAACCGGTTTTCCTATAGCCTCTCCCAGCCGATTCCTCACTCCCACTCTCACTCCCACTTCTGTTTCCCATTCCAGAGCCTCGCGCATTCTCCATACCCCACATCCTCGTCCTCGGCAGTGCCGTAACGCAGCGATGCAACGTTCTACACTCCAAACTCGTGTTTCCCGCACGACAAGTCGTTAACATATCTTACATTCTACGGATATCGCCGGGGACCCTCGTGCGAAGACGCAAATGCGCGATTCCCTGGATTTTTATGTTCTCCGGAGGAGTCGCTGGTAGGAGACACCGCTGGGAATCGAGTACATCCACTTGATTCCTCGCGAATGCTTATTTGGCGTTTATAATAACGAGCCTCGCGCTTCCTCGAGACACGCGTCTCTACATCACCCGCGAAGAATTCCTCTCCTGGCTCGGTCGGCTGGTTCTTCCCGTTTCAACACGGAGGACACCTCGAATCTCGGCACTCCGACACGGAGGGCTTGCGGCTTCCTGGCTACGCAACTGGGCTGATCCTCATTGCTCTCGTTATTCCTCATTCCTCTCGGCGTATTCCAGCGTGATCGCGGAGAGCACGCACGGTCGAACTGTTTTGCCCTCGGTGTACCGAGCGTTTTCGCTTTCTCGTAAAACTCCGTGCGGTTTCCAGGCTGGGCAAGGCGCGGTAATGAATAAATCGACTTCATGACCCCGCGCGCGCGGGAAAAGTTCCGAGCGGCGATCGTGCGCAAAAAGCGCTAGGAAGCGTAGATAGTCTCGAAACCGCGAGAAATCTCATTATCTCGGAACACGCGCGAATGCGGTCCGGATGGTTTTCACTTTTTTCCTCTTTTTTCATTTCTCTCATGAAGCGCGCTTCAATTTTCTGCATGACTCCATTCTCTTCGCATTGTCGACCCTTTTTAATCCATCCCGCCGATCGCGCCTTGCGGTATGCGTATATCGACTTCGCGAGGCGGCCGCGAAGAGGCGCGACGGAGACGCAAGAGGAGGGCCCGCGCGTTGTGGCGCTCGCGCGCGAAATATTCGCCACTCGCGTTCGCGGTCGGACAATTAGGTACGATGATAATAGCCTCGACAGCGGGAAAATAAGGAGACAGCGAGGAGGACTGCGACAACAGCGAGCTACTTAGATCGAATTTCACCTTCTCTTTCCTCGCGATCCTCCCACTCGCAGCGGCGTTCGCCGCGCGGCATAACCGGCTCGCGGTGCCTCAGCGCCCTGGCGCACGAGAGAAAGAGCGACATATCGTTTTCTCCGCGCTAAATCGGGAAGTTGGTTAAATAAATAAAGCGAGCGTGCGACAAACTCTCTTGGCGAAACACGCCTTTCGCGGCCTCGAGCTGAGCTTTAGCGCGTTTTCACCGCGCGAGCGGCCACGATCGCGCTTCGTCATCCGCGATCGGCGATGACGGCATCGACGGGTATATTTTATATAAGGTGGAACAGGATAATCGCGGTCACATAAACGGTAACTCTTATAAAATTAGCGGGAAATGTAGAATGGTGGCTCCTTCGGCCCTTCAGAGAGGTCAGAAATCTAGCAGAAATCAATTCCTACACCAAGAAAAATTATAGTTATTTTCGGTGCCAACTATAACTTTTTTTTCTAATTTTAACTATAAGAATAGTAGTAACAACATGCATCATTACCATGCAGCATTATCCATCGACCGGTATTACCCCGTTTCTCTCCAATTAACGTTTATCCGCTTGAAATCACGTTTGGCTTGTTTCGCGACGCATCCGATCAGCGCGCGTTTCATGTGTGTTCATGCGGTGCCGGCTGCGTAAGGAGCGAATCGCTAATGCAAAGACAAACGTTTAATCTTCGATCGTTCGCCCCGAGCCTTTCCCGTTACCAACAACGCATTAATGCGTGAGCTACCTCACATTGTTCGCGGATTCCCCTTTAATTCCCGACAGTAGTAGCCGGTTAAGATCCGCGCGGCGGATTCTAGCGGCGGACGGAGGATAGGTGGGAATACGCGTAATCGCAAGGACGGAAAATTGCATTCCTACTCACCTTCCCTTTCTTTCCGCGGACTCCTCGCAGAATCCTGTTCCGTTTCTCATTCGCGTTGCCTCTACCCGTTCCCCTGGCATCGGGGCTCAATTATATCAATTACGCGAGCCCGGATAATCAATTTCGCCGGCTCGCGATTGAAGATTCGACCCGCAACCCCCGACGGCGGTAACGACGCGCGAAAGGAAGTCGATCGCGATCTATTCCATTACCGCGAAGAATTACAACTCGACGCCGGGGAATCGCTGTGGAGAAGTAATTGCGAACAGCAACATTTTCTCCCGGGTGTTGTAAATAATTTCGTTCGCAGCTGTCGCATTTAGCGCAGGTTCTAATCGGTCGAATATATCGCGCGAGTTAATTATCTCAAATATCCCCCCCCCCCTCTCGATTGCTCTCATTGCTTTATATATCTCAGGGAAAGCGTAACAACGCTTAGATTTTAATTTTACGTAAACCTACGTGATGTTTCCGCGTCTGATATTTCTGCGCGTTGATTGCTCCAAATCACGTAACGCATTAGCAGTTTTCTAAGACAAATATAGTCATGGCGATGGGGTAAGTGGCTTTCGATAAAGCCATGGCGTGATTCACCGACGTTTGATTACGCATACGCATGAATCTCCGCGCGCGCGCGCGTACATGCGAGACGGAGAGAGGCGGCGAGGAGTAATTATTTTCCGCGCGTGATTTTTCTCTTTCTTCCGTTTACGCAAACCGGCCTGCCTGCCTCTGCGCAATCGCGCTAATTTCACATTTGCGAAAGCGCGCTATCCATTCGACGTGTATCTCGCTGTTATTAAGGTTAATTAATTACACGTCAACACACGAAGGCACGGGAAACAATTGGAGCAGCCTCGATTCCCATGCCGATCGGACTTGCAAATCGGCCCGCTTCGGCCAACATCATAATGCGCCTAATAACATAATTAGAATACTCATTTCGTCCTCATCCTATTCGTTAATTCGCACGCCTACGTCGGATCGTCTCTCCCGATAATTCGAGCCTGCCGTTCCCGTCGCTCTTGTTTGCTTTTCAGCTGCGTGTGGTCCCCAACGCGTAATTTTAATATATTCCCGTCCTGGTTGCGAGTGTCGCGTTACCAGTTTCACTCGCTGACTGCGGTTGCTTCTTAATTGCACGTTGCATCAAGGATGATGCCATGCGAGAGCGCGTGCATTGTCTGCGGCTCGCGTGGATTTCACTTCCGAGAGAAGCTACGCGGATAAGACGGGGTATATTCCGCATACCTCGCACGATATCGCGTGCTGCTGAACGACGGGCGTGAGCCTAACATTTTTAGCCGGCGCGAACGCGATACGAAAACGTTTATTTCCGAGGCGAGTATCGCCTTTCCCGCGGATTCGCGACGGCGGTGGTTCGAGGACGAGGTAAGTTGCTCCTGATTGCAAAATCGTTGCGTCCATCCTGCGCACGCTTCGTGCACGCTCGTCGCCGGCTCCCTATCGCCCGGACACTAATAATTTTATAAATATAGACGGACCGTGAAGCCAGTAGAAAAGGAACGTCCACCTGCGTCACAGTAACGAGCTTAAAGCCAGTCATAACGAGTGCGTCGCGCGACGCATGAGAGAGCATCTCAACCTTGACTGGCGCTCGGGGTAACGTCGTGATCCTCGTGATACTTCGTGGGCATCGCGATCTAGGACATTCTACTTAAGACCGCGCGCCAGGTGCTTCGAAACTTGACGACTCGCGCCCGGCCTCGCCGATTATTATTACCATTATCATTATTATCGGCATATTACACCGCTTTTACCGCAGATGGCAATGCAGTCGGAACAAAAGTGTGTCGCTTTCGTTCGCACAATTCGCGTGAACATTCGCGAGCGTTCGTCATGCGTCACCGTAAACGCCGAGAATAGACGCGCACCTTTCGAGAAACATTCGAAAACTTTGAAGTCTCCTCGGAGCGCACTTTCCTCTCTCTTCCGGAGTGTAACTTTCCCTTCACCGTTAACCGTGTATCGCCAAAATTGGAGGTAACACGTCGAAGTAAAAGCACGAAGTACGTGTCTCCAAATTTGGAGGTGCACTATCGCGTGGTACCTCCGAATACGTACCTCGAAATGTCCCTCGTAATTACGTAGGGCTTTTATTTCAACGCGTACCTCCAGCTTCGGCGACAAATGGTTAACAGTAATGTATGAATTTTTGCGTTATTATTTATTACACACGGGGCCAGGATAGAGCCGCGAAGGATCGTCTGTCGCAATTATTGTACGCTTAGGTATATCGCTCACCGTTGGCGCGTGCGAGACCGACGATGCATATCCAGCACAGGGCCAGTCTCCAGAAACGGTCGGCCATGTCCATTCCCCGGGTAATTACGAAACGCCCGCGGACTGTACTCGCGATCCCCTCGAGGACAGATAAATGAAGGGAGGAAATAGGAGGACGAGGGAGGAGAGGAAGGACGGACGGGCCGGACTTTTCGTATTATCCGCCAGGCACTCTCATTTAGTCGGGCGCGCTCGTACTCTTCGCAGGAGAGCGACTCTTCGGCCTCGCCGTCCTTCTCGTCTGCCGCTGCGACGCTGAGAGAAAACCCGCGCGCAAGCAGGACTTCACGTCGCCGATATAATCCGGTAAGACCTTCGGAATAGGCCTTGATGGAGACGCGCGAGAACGACGTTCTCCGTGCGAGCACGCGAGAGACACTGACGGGCCCGACGAGTGGCGGGAGAGTTTGAACCGCCAGCAGACCCAGTCCTCAGCATCGATCAGTGGCGTAGACACCGAGCAGACCGCGGGGCTCTGAGCGATGAGAGCTCGTGTGACGTTAATTGAACGGCGAAATTGTGCGAATCGGCCCTTCTATTCGACGGACGTTCAAACGAGATCGAGACGAGGAGGAAGATAGTGCCTCGGGATATCATTTTTGACGATCGTTGCCGCATGATGTTCTCGTGATAACGTTTTGTTATGGACTCTCTCTTATGAATTGCGTGCTCTAGCGGACTTTATGCGTGACTACTTGGCCGCAGAAGAGCAAATAGTCGAAACTGGAACACCTCTCTCCTCAATCTTATCGCGAATCGGAACGCGACTTATCGCAGTCGAATTGCAGTCAGTCCGCGTGCGAGTCACGCGAACTCAGCCGCGAGAGCTGAAAATTAACATTTGCCATATCGCGAGAGCGCCGTACGACGCCACTGTCACCGAGAAACAAAAGACATACGGATGAGAAAGTGGCGGCCGCCGCAAACCAATTGCAATGGTAGGGTGTCGCGCGCGAGTGTGCGTGCGCGCGTGTACATACGCTTATCTGGTAACTGGAATAAGCTCGCGGGCCGGAATAATTGCGAGAAGGCATAACGAGTTTTCGCGCTAATTGATTTACAGGCCGATGGACCGAGGGAGATTTGAGAATCTAGGTGTTCCGAACAATGGCGCGTCCTACCATCTTGCAGCCGATCGGCGCGACCCACGGCCCCAACCCACGTCGGGTTTTGGACCCCGCAGACGCAGTCTCGGTGTGTACCGCCGATGACTCAAGAGCCGATCCGGGAGAGGAACCTTTCCCAGACTCGTTCTCTCGCGTTCTCTCCTTTTTCTCTCTCTCTCTCTTTTTTTTTCTCCCCGTCTCTGTCCTTTTTTCTTTCCTTCCTTTTTTCATTTTCGACGTCTGGGCAAGGCCCAGTGTTTTATTAACGTGGGCGTGCGGAGCCAACGGCACCTCTCGCGCTGGGCCTTACATGGATGCACTGTGAGTCACTGCCCAAAGCAGCGGTGTATGTATGTAAATGTATTCTGCTTACTTTATTCAGGCGTCCACACGCAGGACGTGACGATCCGGTCCCGTAAATATCAAAAGCGACATACAAAAGGCGCAATGACGACGACGGTGAATTGAGATCGATCGATAAACGGCCGATAAATCAAGTACGTTGATCCACTGACACGAGGTCATGGCGGAGGAACTATGCGGATTTTTCGAGCCACCCGTGAGAGCGGTGGAACCGCGAAGAGGATTTGCGAATGTGTTTGTCTTGCCGCGACCGTCCGTCCAAGCAGAGCCAATAATGTCGTTGTCGCCGTGCTCGGCTGATTTGTCGACACGGCGAGAGACAAGTGTAAATTTGCCCGTCGTGCCTAAAAGCCCCGACAGGCTCCCCCGGACAAGCGGACGTCTGTCCCGCGGGGCCCACCTCGGCGGTGCCGTCTCCATAACACCGTGTGAGACTCCCGTCCGTGTCCGTTCATGTACGGTACTTCTTCTTGTTAGCCATTATTGGGCCTCGGGTGAAAGTGTCCGACTGGACATTTCGTAACCAGGCATCGATATCGCCGCGCATTGAAATCTCCGTAAGTAACGACGCGAGACGAAGGGAACTATCGCGAATCCAACGTCTCGCTGCCTGCGATTTCTGCTCTCGTTTTCGATAATTGCATTGAGATGCTCATCACGTGAGACAAGATCGATATACGGAAAAGCACAATTTGTTCCGTACAATTGTGTGGAGTTAACACGCAGAAAATCAGAAAAAGCGATCATTTGTTGCTCGTTTCGCTCGAAACTCGCGTTTCTCACTGCTTCTAGACGCAGACGAGATGAATCGGTAAAGACTTCTCGCCGAAGCGCCATTTGCGCTAATTAAGCGTTAAAACGACGTTAATCCCGATCGAAGAGGCCGGAGGGCTGCGAAGCAGAACGGCCAGCCGTGTGTGTAGCCTATTGTTTCTTTTTTTTTTTCCGGCACACCGGCCGAAGCAATATTAATCAAGTACGCCGTGCGTCGCGTAATTTAAATTCCCGTTAATCCGCCGGACTCGGATTGCCATTCGCTCGCGTGCGCGCGCGCGGGGGCATTGTCTCTTCCTCTCCTGGATATCGCGGCCGCGCGGGCGAGCGCGTGCGTGTGCAAGAGAGAGAGAGAGAGAGAGAGAGAGAGCGGGATAACCGGTAATTGCCTATCGTGCGACGGCGTTAATGAAGTGCAGATAATTAACGAAACGAAATGGCGAAGTGAAAACCACAGTCGCCGTCCTACTCCTCCTCATCGTCGTCGTCGTGGTCGAATGGAGCGAGCGCAATCACCGTGCCTCCGATGACGCTAATAAATCCGTGACAGCGTGCCCTTTTGCGGAAACAGCGACTTCCATCATTCCTCGCCCTCATTAGAGAAAAGACTCTCCTCTTCTCCCCCCCCCCCTCCCGTCCTGTTCTCCTCCATCTGTCTCTCTGTTTTTTTTTCTTTCTGGAGCGACGAGACGCGCTACGCTTAATCGTGGATACTAATTACAGCGTTCGCGGAATAATGAAATAATCTTACTACGCGCACAGCCCGGGAGACCGCGGACTTCCTTGAGAACTTTTTTCAGCGCGCGTCGCGCGAGCGCTTTATTAGTCGCGGGGCCGCTACACGACGCGGCAAATTAATCTAGTGGGATTAGCCGCTCGTTATCGGGGACGAATCGCCGGCTAATCGTCGACGATCCCTGCTTCCTCCCCTCGATAACAGATTATTGATGTGAATCCCATTGCGCGTCCCGCGGCCATTAGGCGTATTCATTGTCGCGCTTCTCGTAACCTCGGCTAATTCGAAGAGAAGAAGAACGAAAATAGGAATGAGAATATATTTTACAAAAATAAATACACGACGTTCAACGTCCCTACGTTCGAACGTGGTACTAACGTGATCTATGTACAACGCGCACGTCTCGGGGAATATATTAATTTACTTTACAATCATCGCTTCTCGCGCCTCTTAAGCGCGACCTAAAGCATGCGCACACAATAGCGGAACGATTAACGAAATTAATTAGCTAGCGGAAACTTCTCCTCGTCGTGTTGTGCATCCCGCTGTCCGGATGCGGGTTGTCCTTCTGATACGCTGCGAATGTTACTTCCGGCGAGCTAACGAAGTCTTATGCTGTGAGAATGCAGAAGGAAGCGACGGCTATCACGAAGTACAGGCTCGCCCTGGGGCTGAAGGGCGAGCCGGAGCTGTAATTCAGGATCTGGCACTGCGAGTTCCTGAAGTGCTTGACGTTACCCTCGGAATCGCGCGCCAACACGCACAGTTCGTATTTCACGCTTGACTCCTTCAGATCGTGGATCTTGAAGGACCTCTCGCTGTAGACCACGTCTTTCTCCAACGTGGACTTGCTGCTGCCGAATTCTCGGACCACCACGTAGAAGTCGCCGATGTCTTCGCGCGACGTCACGTACCACGTCGCCCTCCAACTTTTGTCCTCCGTGTTGCTGAGGAAAAATCGTTACTTACGCCTCCCGAAATTTTCAGGGCTACCGTCAGGTTGCAACGTATTTCTAAAAATAGTGAAATAAAACAATGTGATAAAAATCACGTACTATTCGATGTTCCGATATTTCACGTCCGGTGTGATATCGAGTTCAGGCTCCTCTTGGATATCTCTCTCCCCGCAGTTCATGAGATCCTCCGTAATCCCTGCGATGGGTTTGTCCGCGAGATAATTCGGGCTGTTGCACGTCACGTTCAGCCACTCCGTCGGGAGCTGCGTTTGGGCATTCAGCCACCTCTTTAATGGCCGCGCGTGGCAATCGCAGTGCATCGGGTTTCCTTCAGAAATAACATACTTTACTATCGAGATATGAAAAATCTTCGATTAAATATAATTCCTGGTAATAAGCTTTTCATCTGTCGATAATCTAATTGCGAGCGTCTTTAACAGATCGTTCGTCGTTAGGTTTGATTATTTAATCCTTCGTTACCGAGGTATCTGAGCACCGTGCCGTTCTGAATGATCCTCATGTACTTCTCGTCGAACACTCCGATCTCATTCTCCTCTAGATCGAGGACCTTGAGATTCGGTAGCGGTAGGATCTTGTCGAGGGGCATGTGACTCAGGCGATTGTTACTCAGGTGCAGGTTGGTTAAATTTAACGGCGGCAAAAAGACGTCTCGATCAGAGATGTCGCTTATATCATTATACGACAAATCCAGCGTCTGCAAAGCCGTTAAATTCCCGATTACATCTGGAACAAGGACAATATTCTTAATAAACGATTCTCGGCGAGAAGTAAGCCGTTACTTTGTTACGTCCGATCGAATGGTGCTCGCTATTAAAAGCGACGCTCTACCTGTTACTCACATCTTCTGATCTCATTGATGTTGTTGTGACTGAGATTCAAGCACTGAATCTTCTTGGCGCCTGCAATGAGGTCGAAGGTTACTACCGGCATTGTGTTGTAGGATAAGTCGACATCCTTCAGCCTGTAGGGGATCCAGGGATCGTTTGGCAGGGTCTTTCGTGTGATGAAGGAGACTTTGTTGTGGCTAAGATTCAATCTCTCCAAGGACAGACAGTCGTCGAGCAGACCGTGCGTCTTGTTGTCCAGTTTCTCCAATTTATTGTGCGACAAGTCGAGAGTTCGCAGCGACACCAGGCCTTGAAACGCTCCGTTCGGTATGTGGCTGATGTTGTTGTTCGTCAGATTCAACGTCAGCAGCTGCAACAGGCCCTCGAACGCGCGGCTGGTCACGTTGTTTATCTTGTTGTTCGCCAGATTCAGCTCGAACACTATCGGCAAGCGACCGAACGCGGCTTTCTCCAGTTTCGTCAAGTGGTTGTCCTGAAATATCATCACTGAGTAGAATCTGGAAGAACATCGATTAATTCTTCGTGAGGATATTCTCGTCTTACTTGCAGATAAAGGTACTGCAGACTGCTGAGACTACCCAACGCTTGCCAGGGCGGTCTCGTGATGTTGTTCGCTCGCAGGTCTAAATTTCTCAAGGTCAAGAGGTTTTCGAAGCTACCGTCCTGCAGATTATCGGCTAGTCGGTTCCGCGACAGGTCCAACGAGAGCAGTGCGTTCATCGTTGGCCACACATCCGTGCTCGGGATCTCCTCCAATAGGTTCTCCGAAAAATCCAGCTGGCCCAGCGAGATCGGCAGCTGGAATATCTTCGTCAGCCGGTTGTTCTTCACGGTTAGACTCCTGGAATTTGATTTATCGTTAATTCTTAATTTATCGTTACCCGCGTGACGTCTTTTTACAAATTAATTTCGAACGGCCCACCTGCAGCTGGCCAGTCGAGTGAGACTACCGCGTGCGATGTCGTTCAATTGATTGTAGCTCATGTCGAGCTCCAGAAGCGTCGGCAGCGGCCCGAAAGTCGACGGTTTGATCTTCTCCAGGGAATTGTACGATAGATTCAGGAATCGTAGACTGAAGAGCGTCTGGAACACGGCGTTATGAATCTCGGACAGGTTGTTGTGCGAGAGGTCGATCGTGTGGAGCTCGTACAGCTTAGGGAAGGTCTGCCGTGGAACAGAATGTATCAGATTGTGGGAGACGTTCAGGACCTTCAGACCTGTCATATTGTGTAGTGGAACCTGGTAAAGAATAAAAAGATATTAGCACTTGTACACGTAAATAAATACACGGTAAATAAATAAAGACCTGTCGTTCGACTTGTTCGTACTTGAAAAGTACTCACCTGATTCAGAGACGTGAACAGATTGTAACTCAATTGCAATTCGGTGGCGTACGTCGAGCTATCGAAAGAATATTTGGAGATATTCTCGAGCTTGTTGTAGCTGAGATCCAACGACGTGATGTTCGCGCAATTCTCGAAGGCGCCCGGCTCGATCTTCGAGATCTCATTGTGAGACAGATTCACCTTCGCCAGGTAGAGATCTTTGAAGGCCAGTTTCTCCACGATCGTTACGAAATTCTCCGAGACGTCTAAAAGCTGGTAACGAGCGTGTTTATTATCGAAGAGAGAGGAAAAGGAGTTCATGCAAATGGATCCTCTTGTGTAATGATACGCACCTCGGCAAATTGCAGCTGGTTGAACATCTGGAAGTCGACTTTCTTTATGAAGTTCCGCGAGAGATCGATGGTGCCGATCCTGGTGACGGAGCCAAAGGTTCCACGTCCCACGTCGTTAATCTGATTGTCGCTCAGATACAGTCGTCTGAGGAAGCGCATGCCGCGGAAGGTGTTCGAGTCTAACTTCCTGATCTTGTTGTGACTCAAGTTCAGTACCTTCAAGACGGAGTTTCGGGCGAAGGTTCCTCTAAAACGAAAAAGACCTTAGATATCCATGTCGCGGAGTCTCGACAATAGTTAGTATTCTTTTTTTTTATTCTAGTTTATCAACCTCTTCAGGTCGACGATAGCGTTGTGAGACATGTTGCACCATCCCATCTTCGTAAGGTCCGCCAAATGCGACGGGTCTAACTTGTCGATCGAATTGTAAGATAGATCCAAAAACTCGGTGTCTCTCAGACCCTTGAACTGATTCCTCTTCAGGTCTTTTATCTTGTTACCGTGAAGATCAAGCGTCTTCAGTTTCTTCAGCGGCGTCAGTGCCTCCACAGGCAAAGAGGATAGCGTACCTGAAAGATATGATGGTTACTCAAGGGGATTAATTTATTCAATATTTTTTTATATTTTTTTATAATTTCGCACGGAAAAAAAGAATTTGGTTGAATTTACCGGATGAGTATAACCAGACGCGTTTTGGTCGCAGGAAATAGAATTTCTGATTATAATAATTTGGGTCATAAGTACCAGAAATTTGGCTTCCTTCAATCAAAACGCGTTTGATTCGCTGCATTATCTAATTCTACCAGATTTTTTTCTTCGTGTGGTAGACACAAGAAGGCCGAAAATTCGTATGTATTTCTTTATCTTTGTGGTGTCTATATAATTGCATTAATCGAAGTCACGTCGCTCTCTCCCGAGACCGTCGAGACCAGGAGGCAAGACGAGAGTACATTTTTCATTAAAGCATTTTTCCCGAACTGCGATATAAATGTTGAAACGGATAACTACCGTTGCTGATCTCCAATTTTTCCAGTTTAGCCGCCGCCGCGCTTTCACCGAAGCTATTGCTCGGCAAAATAGATATCCGATGACCCGCGATGCTCAACAGGCTGAGATTACCGAGGACCTGTAATGCCTCGCGTGGGAATTTCTCCAGATTGCTGTTTATCACGTGCAGCTCCTGGAGGGTTCTGTTCACGCCGAGGAAACTGTGCTCCTCAATCAGCCGCAGCGGCGTGTCGATAAACTGGAGCACCCGTACGTCCAAAGGGTACAGGGCGGGTCCATAGAATCGCACTGCGTGTTCGCAAAACGGAAATGTATAAGAAATCAAGTAAACGAAATTATTCGCTTAAAGTACGATTTTATTCCTATTTCTCGCGATTTCTATTTCGTCAGCTTCCGTAAGAACATGTTGCCCGCATGTTTCGTGTTTCTTTTTTTATTTATTTTTTTTTCTCCGTCACGACGAGAAATCACATCACGAACTTACCTATATTACACTTGTACAGAACCAGTTCCTCGATCGGCATGCCCTCGTTCCCCAGATTCACGAAGGCAAGACTCAGACTGGCCAGATTCGTGTTCTCGCAGCGGACGTACAAGCCCCGGTCGCTACCCCGTAGGCAAGTGCAGGGGTAAATGTAGATCGCGTCTTTGGGACATCTGAACCGCGGCCCCGGCGGCACGTAGCCGCCCATCACGGACAGGGCTATGCCGAACAGCAACAGCGGCGATAACATTTCGACACCTATTCGAGACGGGCATCGGAGAGAAAAGAGAAACTCGTTTAATTCCCGTCTCGACGCACGAAAAATTGCACGCACCTTAATTATAATCCCGACGTAACTGTTAATTATGCTAACGAGCGAGATATGCGGCGTAAACTCGAGAAAGACTATCAGACCGGATAAGAGGAAGATGCGTAGTACGTACGTATAATTAAAGACTTTCCCTCGGCGCGAACGAGAGAGAATCGACGAATTCGCGTTCGATACGCGTCGAACGAGCGCGCCTCCGTTCGTACCCTCGTTACCTCGCGCTCGAATTAATTCGCGCAGAAATTAATAGCGATCTTTCCCTCTAGCGGTCGAGGTACCGAGGCCGGTAATTACATTTAGGGTGAGCGCTTTGATTAGTCACTTCGTGATGCAAGCGTCGTGCGAAATGTGAGAAAGTTTTCACCCCGTGAACTCCGTCGGCTAATCTGCTGCGTGCGCAATAGATCGATACGCCGATAACCGGTGCGCACCCTGGGTGCGCCTAATCAGTTCGGGATTTCCTTAGAAAAAAATCGCAAGAGCGATATTTCCTCTTTTCTCATTTTTAAAGGGTTGACCCCAGAATGTTTATTACGCTTCTGTTCATAGATATATGACTATATCTATCTCTTTTTATCCATCGACCCGGGGTCGTCGAACAGACCTTCCCTTCCCTTCTCTCTCTCTCTCTCGACTCCTTTGTCCTTTTCCTCGGGCCGGGTTTAAGCCAAGCGGGCGATTACGTTGTCGTTGAGAATTCGCGATCCGATCTCCGCCGCTTACTATCCCACGCGAATTTCCAAGATCCCGGGAGATCGGCCGGAGGTGACTAACCGCCCGATTATTATCGCGTCGGCCCAAACGCGTCCTTGGGGCGAGGAAGAGGCGCCCCCTTGCTCTTTTCGGGCCGTTCCTTCCTCGGCGCGACCTACGCGCGGTGTGACCTACGCACCTACGCGGCGAACAACAACGGCGACGACCACGCGAGAAATCAAGATTTCGCCAGTGACGAGCCAGCCTCAATCCGCCATCGCGGTCGCATAATTAATTCGCTCGCCGCCGTGCCGGAGGAACGGTATCTCTCACGCGATCCCCCGCGAGAGGAAGAAAGCGCGCGATTCTGCACGGCGCTTATTTCGTTACGTCGCAAATTACCGACTACCGTAGGGACAACTCGAAGTGAATTGTGAGCCGAGAGCCGCGCGCGCGCTCGAACGACTTTGGCCGACGTTGCGTGTTATTATGAGTGAGAAAATTGCGAAAACGCGTTTGTCCGTACGGAAACGTTCGCGCAATTCAGAAAACCGATCCCGGTTTTCCCCGTGCTTATTGCCGCGTGGACGATGAGTCACCTGCGTAACCGTGCATGAAACTTCGATAGAAAATTAACGGTTACGGTCGAAAACGACGCGGCTCGACATTGCAAGTTGATCGTTTTCCGTTTTCTCTTTCTTTTTTTTTTCTCTCTCTCTCTCTTTCGAAAGCACGCTCCTTCGCGGACGATTGGCAATCGTTGCCGTCTCCGTGCGGCGACCGGCCCGTTTAGAGGATCATCATCATCTTCGTCCGTCATTCACATGACGTGGGTGGATTTGAAAAGACTCGTTTGGCCATGAAATGGGATTTTATCGCCGCGTTTCATTAATCGATGAATTAATCGCGCGCGTCCATGCTGTTCTGCGTGTCGATTCGCACTTGCGATTACTCTTTTTTCTCTTTCTCTCTCTCTCTCTCTTTAATCGGTTTAATGAATATTTATGCCTTCTTCAAAGAGCTTTCGCGATAACGTTGCGATCGCCGGCATCATTAACGGTTGCGCAGCGGCGAGGGCTGTTCACTGTCAACTTGTAATTTCGATATAATAACAACGGCAACAGTCCGCTAATCGGGACCGTCGTAGCGAGGCCTCCCGCAATTAACGGGCAGCGTACAATTAAAGTGATTGTGGGACCCACCGATCTGAGAAATGGAGAACCGTGCCTTATTATACGGCCCTAATAGTAACTTAACGAGCGAGGGAGGCAAAAAGAAAGGCACGGTGATCTAGTTTCGAGGCGAGGTTTATGCAACACGTCCGCGATATAATAATATACCGATGAGCAACAAAGGCTATTCAACGGCGATATTTCTCGCGTTCGCACCGAGATGGGAGGACTCGCCGATTGTTATCACGCTGGAGATAATGATCTCGAGAGAATATATACATTTTATGCGGGATTACTCACGCACACTAGTGTAAAATGGCGCGATCATCTCCGAATCTGAGACCGATGAAGCGATAATGCTCGCGCGCAAAACGATATACTAGGAAAAACGCGCGCGCCTTTCACTTATTCCAGTCGGAGTATCGCGCTCAATCTCGTCTCAATCCCCGTCTCGCTCCCTCGTAAGAGCAAGGAAATAACCGCTGGACCGAAACCACGCTGATCTCTCGTGACTCTAAACTCGTATCGGAGAGAACAAAAATGCACGTATGCACGTACCGTTGACGTAACGTACTGGCGATAGGCGCGTTATTTATTACAGTGGACCGTCTCGCGTCCACCTGGATCTCGCGACTTGATCGAACGACCTTTACATGGCACCTGTGGCGTGCGTAAATGTTTAAAAGAACTCGACGAGCGCGGCGATTAGCGAAGGGGTAGGCTTCAGAATGTGAGACGAGTGCGACTTCCGCCACTCGGGAGCGGAAAGAACGACCGAAACGAGAGGGGAGGGGGGGGACTCGCGCCACGGTCTACTTTCCGAGTGTCTATCAATTAGAGCTATTGTTACGGCGTAGCGGAGGCAGCGGGCTTATATAAAAACGCAAGACTCGCTTGGCACGAGGAAGAGTATCGTATTACCGTTTAAATACTAAAATTAAATTCTATTAGAGCGCGCACTCTCGTAGAACCATCGAGAGGGACAGAGAGAAGGAGAAATGCGCTTTTCCGTGCGCCTCTTTAACACGGCGGACTGAGGATATTTCCGTTTCACCGGTCGTCCTTGCGGACACCTCGTCGCGCAGACACCCTGTGCCCGCATTCTTTCGCCTATTCTATTCGTCTTCTATTCGCGACACAACACGTCTTCCTAGCGTGGGATCTCGTGTCTCTCATCAGCCTCGGAAATAGCGCGAGCGGATCTCGAACGTCAGAATGAAGATACATATTATTTGAAGATACATATAACATTTTTTTTTTTTCATTTGTATGCCGCATGTAACGAATTTTGCAAAATACCAGTAGCTGAGTATCAAGATGTGAGAAAGAAATATTTTGACAATGACGAATGAATGCTTTGAATAAAACCGACCGGTATATTCGACCACTGCGAATTTCGCTCGGCCGAGCGCAGGAAGTTATAGAAACAGGAAGGTATCGTAACAAACAGAAAGGAGCAAAATAAGTAAAAGCGCGCTCGATTAATTTGACGAGCCAGGTAAAACATTAAAGGACAGTTATGTCGAGTGGCAGACGTGGAAAGAATTAACGTGCGCGCGTTAAAGCCACCGTTCGCCGACGAGAACCGGAGAGATGACGCATCTAAACGCACGTGGATACTCACAGCCGAGAGTGGCCTCGTGAGAAGACGTTGCAGCGTTTTGAATTTGAGAATGTCATGCGAAGCTAATGAGCCCTTTCGCGTACAATCGAGTCATTAGTGAAAAGACCGCTCGATGCGAAAGCGTTCGTGGCATACCGATTGTCATACCTGGTTGTTGCTTCGACGTCGGATGATGGGTATTAGACACGTCCGAGGAGGAGCAACATCTCCCACGAGCGAGTTTGTGATCGTGAAGATTTCAATGTGTCACGTGCAAGAAAGTGCCTGCTGATCTGCTCTCACGGAGACGATATTCGCGGTATTTCGCACTTTGCCCGAAAATGTTCAAGATCGCGAATTTTCAAACTCGTCGTCGTTGACGTGAGTTTTCGCCAAGGGATGTGCCGCGATAGTTACATGTTCGCTATCGACAGGGTCATCCCTTTTTTTTTTTATACAACGTGCAGCAGCGAAAAGAATGAATGAGATAAGCAGGTTAACGAGCACACGAGTGTTTCGCCGCGCGTGTCTTCAGGACATTCTGCATGGTGGTTCCTGGATGAAGCTGCCGTGAAAACTGAGCCGAGGCTCGGAGGCAAAGAGAAAGGCAGCCTCAGAAGTGAGTAAGTAAGGCCTCTCTCATTGGCAGTTGATACGCGCTGTCCTTTCGCGGACATACTACCTTCTGCCACCGGGTCGCCGTGAGCGATCAGCGTGTTTGATAAAACGCGATCACACCTTCAAAGTCACGGTAGATTGGCGACCTTGTTAAAGTCCCCAATTAAATGGCGCATGCGACGTGAAATGCGCGAAGAAGGGTCTGTTTATTTTCAGAACTAATGGTTAAAAGAATTTTCAAGTGTCTAATAATTTATATGTATTTTTTATAATCGTTTTTCTTTTTTACGATAAGAGTTGAAGACGATGAGATGTTAGTTGATCGCCAAAAACGATGAAACTGCGATCTTCCTTTCCTGTTGCGAGGTTTCTAAACATTCATGCTTTCACTTCACTATAAGTGCACGGTGTAATAAATAGTTGCAAAAATTAATTGCATAATAGTTGCATAATAGTTGAATGTGCAACATCTTAGAATCGACATACAACGATACGATCCTGGCGAAGTATCGAGCGTAGAAGAAAGTTCGCCGGTGAACGGCATCTTGGGATTGGTCGGCGTTAGTGAAAGTACATTCGAATAGTTGCTTCGATACTCAACCGATTGTGAATCCAACGATTCAAGGCACGAAGCTGACATCTGTTGGTGCACGGATAAATCTGAATAAACATTCCCGGTTGGAGATTTGAAACGGAGGTGTTTTCACAATTATCGCTCCCTGCGATTAAAAAATTTTATCGAGTCTTCACATCGAAGATTTGCATCCTCTCTTTTATTTCTTTTTATAAGTTTGTTATATACATGTGTTCTTTCTCTCTCTTAATCTCTACAAAATTACATGGGTATTTCTTTACTTTTGGGACGCTCTTCGAAGCTTCGGGAGCATCCCTAGACGCGGCAGGATGTGACAATTTAAACGTCGTTTAAGCAATAACAAGAAGGAACAACACGCTTTTTCAGACATTACACGGTTATTAAGATCATGAAACTCGTCGAGTTCTTCAGTTTCGAACGAAGAGTTCGCGGTCCTCGCAGTACTGGTTACATTATCCGTCGAGTAAAGCAACGGTAGTGGTTATCAATATTGAACTTAATTTGAATCGACGGCCATCCGTTTGAACTCGTTCTCGCCGCTTTGAGATCCATGGTCTACGGAAACATGAAATATTTACTGCTAATTTTTTTACTATCATTAATCAGTGAGTAGAAAAAAGTTACTTGCAATTTTGATACATTTGCATTCAAGTTTGCAATTTCGTTCTGTTCATAATTTACACCTTCTGTCACGTGCAGGCATGGTGGTGACGAGTTGGAATTTATTTCTGGTGAGAATCTACTTCTTCTTAAATCTCTTTATCGAGATAGCTTTAGCAAGTTATAATCGTCTTGTGGTTAAAAGTAAAAGTTACAGATTATAATTCTGTGAACAGGATAACGACAATGAGGAAGAATTTAAAAGAGAATATAAAAGAGCATATAAAAACCCTTTCGAGGGTTTATCTTTTAGCTTTACTTGCGAAGGTAGACCAGTCGGCTTTTACGCGGACGTGGAACATGACTGCAAGATTTTTCACGTTTGCAACGAACACGGCGAAAGAATTCCGGTGTTCTGTCCCTACAAAACGCTGTTTGATCAGAGACAGAGAATGTGCACGGATGAAGAAATACCTTGCAAGCAATCGGAGAAATGGTAGAGAGAGAGGGAGAGAGAGACAATGTCTTGCGCTTGTTTGGATTTGTAAAGAAGAAGCAAACGGTACAAAATAACGATTACTCATTTCAGGTATTATTTGGACAGCTCGAATTACTATTCTTA